TGCGATGAAAACCCTGTTCAAGAATGAAATGTTCAAAAAAGATCAAGTGAGGCGACGCATGATCGACTCGCTGTTGGCGGCCCGCACTCACATGTCCTCTCTGCTTCACAGCTGGCACACGTTCGAGCGGAAAGAGACGTCTTGGCCGAATCGAATTCCGAATGGGTCGTTCAGCTATTTTATTCGTTCCAGGATGCCGATTACCTGTACCTGGTGATGGAATTCTTGCCCGGAGGAGATCTGATGACTATGTACGTTGCAGTCTTTGATCGCTGATGACAATACTGATTAAGCTCGCTGCTCGCTGTAGGCTCATCAAGTACGACACGTTTTCGGAAGATGTGACCAAATTCTACATGGCAGAGTGTATCCTGGCAATCGAAGCCGTCCACCAGCTCGGTTTCATTCATCGGTACAGTCCATTCTTTACGTTGACTGTACAACTTGATCTAATTTGCAACTTTGCCTCCAGTGATATAAAACCCGATAATATCCTCATCGACGGTACCGGCCATGTCAAGCTCTCCGACTTTGGTCTCTCCACCGGATTTCATAAACAGCACGATTCCGCATACTACCAACGCTTACTTGGCGGCGGGGACGGGTCAACCAACGCTTCTTCGAACCCGAACATCGGTAATCAAGCGGGTGTGCGGAACAGTGTCATGGTGAATGCCATCAACTTGCAAATGACGAGTAAAGGAGATATTGCGACGTGGAAAGCGAACAGGAGAAAGTTGGCTTACTCGACCGTTGGTACACCGGATTATGTAAGTCCAGCTCATGGGTCCAGTATCACGCGCTGTTGTGTGATATTCACGCTTTGCGTCTCGATAGATCTGCCCCGAAATCTTCTTGCAACAGGGATACGGCAAGGAATGCGATTGGTGGTCTCTTGGAGCCATCATGTATGAATGCGTTGTTGGTACGTCGGGATCCCACCCAGACATCTATACAGAGGAGCGTATGCTGATGATATGGTCATGCTCGGCAGGCTACCCTCCTTTCTGTTCCGAAAATCCCCATCAGACATACCAGAAAATCATCAAGTGGCAAGACTACCTGCATTTCCCGGATGACATCCGTCTCAGTCGAGAAACGGAAGATTTGATTCGAAGGTACAGAAAATGCTTCCGTCGACAAGATCATCCAACCGAACTCTAACTTTTGTTTGTGACCTCTTTTCCAGATTACTGACTGGCGCCGACAGCCGATTGAACGTCGAAGAGATCAAGAGTCATCCCTTCTTTTACGGAGTTGACTGGTCAACGATCCGCAACATCGATGCTCCTTTTGTTCCCAACTTGAAGAACCCCTTCGACACCTCGTACTTCCCAACCGAAGACCTCGACCAAGTACCCGATCTGCCTGCATCAGCACGAACCGGTGAAGCACCTGCAAAAGATCTGGCATTCTTGGGCTACACGTGAGTTGATGTAGATGTTGAATTTCTGAATGGCAACACTGGCTTACTCTCTGCTGCACGACTCAGTTTCCGGCGATACGAATCGCTTTAGGACATGACAAAATGCTACATATTCATCTTGTATACATATACGCAACGAAACTTACGACACTCATTTCACGTGCTGGCTGTGCAGCTGGCTGTGCTGCCACTGCTACTGTAGCTTATTCCGTAGTATATACACATCTCTTCATTCAGGTCCATCACGAGCTCTCTATCGCATCCTGCAGTTACGCCCTGCTACGTTTGGCGCCGGGCTCAAACGGGACATCACCTGGATCCAGCTCGCCTAGAGGTCGGCGTTGCGCTTGGTGAGAAGTAGGTACTGCTTTCCCAACAGCTCTGCTGTTGATGATGACATTATGTCAACTTGGAAAAGCTGTGCATAGATAACGCTCCCAGGCTTACCCATTCTCCTCGTTGCCGCCGTCATAAGACCTATCCCAACCTCTCGCGCTGGCAAAGTCGGTTTCCACTCTAGTACTGTGCACGGCGGCAGAGTCCGAAATACTTCTCCCACCAGAACCACCAGACCCGACACCCGTGTTTACTGAATCGCTCGGAAACCTGAATCCGCCGACGATCGGCTGTTGCTTTTGTTGCGCCGCGATACCACCCTTTGACTCCCTGCTTTCCTTCTGACCAAAACCTTCCGTCTGCAGGCCCGCCGGTTGCTGTTGCGCGCTCTGCAATAACGCCGCTCGACGACGTCGACGCCCAGCTTCTTTCTCGTCCTCGTCGCTCGAGGTTTTCTGTTCCACTTTCGACTCTGTTGTAGGACCCTTGACCCAGTTTGCTGTCGTGCTGTCCGCAAAGTCTCTAGTATTGACATGGGGCAAACGCGTTGAAACATTGGGGACCGATGTGGATGCGACTGAAATGCTATCCATACTCTGATCGAACACGCTTCCTTCATATGACGTATCATGAATCGCGTAGTCGGCTCCAGTCGGCATCGTGGCAGGATCGTCCAGGTCCATTGTCGCAAGATGAGCCTCATCCATACTAAACTCTTCCTCAAGGGCAGTTGTCATGGGTCGAACGATCGATTGTCCTAAAGAATTGGCATTTGCACCAGCTCTCGAGTTGACCGCTGCGCCCTCCATTCGGTGCAGATGTGATGGGAGAGCCGGGACAGCGAACTCCTGTCTTGCAGAATTGGTGTCGTAAGGACGAGGTTTCATACGACTTTGAGCAATACTCGGGCCGGAAGTCTGTTTGGCTAGATGATGTCCGTTTAATGCTTCCAAATGCGGATGGGCGCGACACGAAGGAGGTGGCGGCGGTGCATTTGGGTCTTGAGATTCCGGCTCGTCAAATTCTGGCCTTCTCCATAAATCTCGTCTTTCGAGAGGTACCTGATGAAATGTTGCATTAGCGTGCGGCTTTACATGGCACTTGACCATCAACTTACGGGCTGCCATTTGACCTTTTCAATCTCCTTTGTGTATTCTTTGTCGTAAAGACAATTTCCGAGAACATTGCCGAAACTTCTCAAAGTACGTTTAACAGCATCGGTAACCGCCTCTTTCTTGGCCTGACGATGATTCATGAAGACGGAGGTGAATATTGCAGAGTAATAATTGAAAAGGTAAGTGTCGCCTCACCTTGTCCAGAGCAGCTCCTTTCCCTTTCGTGTTATCACACTGTCCATACCCCGTGTCTTCGTGGAAAGTGCCGTCCCTTAATATGATCCTGATGATAGCGCTGATGCCGACATTATAACGTCCCTGCGTAGGTTCATCGATCTGAGGATAGACGATTTGTAAGTTCCGAACGACATACATGCTAACGCTCAAGAGGTAAACTCACAAAATCTGTGTTGAGACTCATGATTTGACTCGACCATCCGTTGAATCCAAATACTTCATTTGCGAGATTGATAACTGCGAGATCGTTACAGTGGTAAGTGTCCGCTTGCCGGTTATCCTGCAATCAGCCATATTGCTCACCTTTCCAACCTTCAACATAACTGTAGCATAAGAGGATCAGCTTTCGTCTTTCTTGATTTGCTGGTTCCCAAACCCACCTTAACTTTGGGCCTCCTCCTGGTCCTGGACGTTTCGTAATGTATTCGGGTCCAAGCTTTTTACTCAGTCGACTCTGCAACGTTGCTATTTGTCCAGCTGTATATTCCGACATGAGCATTGGCGCAGTGAATCCTCCTCCGTTACCGAATCCATTAGACCTGTACGAGGCGTTGGCTGCAGGAGCCATTTCGGTCATGTACGGGTTCATCCCTTGCTGAGCGTTGGACTGCTGCGTTGGCAAGTATGGATTTAGAGATCCATGTTGATTCCCAAACGCTTCCGTAGGTACAGATGAGAACTGAGGACCAGGTGGTCCGGAAATGATGTATTGTTGCGCAAAAGGTTGTTGCTGCTGGTTACCGCTCGGCCTGGACGGTCTACGCTGATCCTCTTGTTTCGGAAACGGCCTTTGCTGGTTCTGGTTCTGAGCAGTCTGAATAGCTGACTGGCGTGCTGATGCCCCATCCGGTGCATTGTTATCAACTGTTCGAAGAGGAGTAGGAGCCGGGACCGCCATCGAGGTCGTCACTCTTGCGTTGGGAAATTGAGCTGTGTATGCTGCGACTTGGTGCTTGTGGTCTAGTGCTTCCAGGAGATGTGTGGATAGCGACATCTGACCAGGATAGCCTAAGTTCCGGTGAAGGGAAGGACGATGGATTAGTCGAGTCGTCTACTTGTGAGGAGAGATTTCTCGAAAGGGTCCATAGGTAGGACACCGATCTTTGCAAACTATCGAAATGAAGAGAAGGCGGTCGAGAGGGTCGTTTGTTGATTATTGGAGTTGCCACAAACAAAACAAGACTCGGGCCACTTTTTGTATCAGCTGTAGCTGAAGAAATAGGCCCGTTGTCCTCTTTGGTAGCCTCGTCATCTCGCCCTCCCGATCGTCTTCTTCATGAATGTGCCCTGGAGGCTTGAGCAGCTCCTTGAACTGTTTCTTCAAATCAGCGAGCCGGTCCTCCGTCTACTATAGATCGTCAAGGGTTTCTCAAGCTCTTCAGGGAGGGACACGTCTTGCAAAGTGTTGCAATGCAGTACACGTGAGAGTCGTATGCATTAGAGCATGTTTTCTGGCGAAATCCCTTCCGGCGGCTGAAGCAACTTCAGCTATTGCTCCGCTGCACGGGGCTTCCCGTATGACAACGCCATCTTCACCCCGAAAGCAACTCATCCTCCCACATCTTTTTCGAGGGTATCAAAACACGACGGACGAGTTGAAGCAAGTGCGCATCAAACGGAGAGCAGTTTTCGGACCATTGAATGGCGTTCCAAGAGCTGTCGGCCGCATAGAGGATGTAGCGATGATATATATTCCCTGCCTCTCGAGCGCTGGTATCGGCTAGTAACCGGACCACCGTACATGTGACCCGTTCAACAATATACAGAGAGATGACAGTAGCGCAGCTTCTCTCGAAAAAATAAAGCAGACCAACAACAGACCGGTAGCGGCAGGAGATAGAACGAAGACATAAACAGGGGTATCCTTTTCTAAAGGCAAAAAGGGATTCCTCTAAGCGGGTTCGAACCGCTGCTCTTCGACAAGACATATTGTTGGATTAACCGCATAAGGTCGACGCCTTCACCACTTAGCTATAGAGGAGTTGTTTCAGGTCGTCATTCTTTTGTATTCCCATATAAGCACCTCCTTGGGAGTGGATATGCGCCGCCATTTTATTTCTTCTTCCTCTTATCTTATTCGCATCAATTCAAACACGGCGTGATGGCTGTGCAGGTATGACTTCCTTTGCTTTACCAGGAGTACATTCAAGGCAAGTGCCTGGGTCGTAGCACAGCTATCCACTGAAATCGACCATGGAAGCTGGTTTGATGACTTCCGAACAATCTACCATCTCATGTCCGTTCTGCAGTGATGGCCATCAGTAGTTCAATGTTATTTCCTTGTCCCATATAATGTCATACAACCTCCTTGCACTTGTGCTTTGTAATCTTTTGAAATTCAACGACGTGCTCAACCCTTGATTTATTTAAGAACGGCAATAGGCAGGGCATGGGGTTCGTGCATTGTGATGGCCTTGGTTTGCGTAAACGCCTGAATGGCGGCCATTCCGTTGAATCGACCAAACCCGGATGTCTTCATACCTCCATGTGGTAGATTGGGCTCATCGTGAACCGATGAGCCGTTGATGTGAACCTGTATAAACGGATAGGTCAGGTAGATGCCGACAGAGCTGAGAAGAGACCTGCTTACGGCCCCAGATTCGATGCTTCTCGCAACGTCTAGTGCCTCCTTGTAGTCTCTCGTCCATACAGATGCGGAAAGACCAGCTTCACTATCGTTGGCTATCCTGACGGCATCCTCGGTGTCTTTAGCTCGGATGATAACGAAGCCTGGGCCGAATGTTTCTATCGATTGAGCCGGTAGTGTTTTAATCAGTTTCAGAAAAGATTGTCGCACACGGACAATAACTAACCCTGGTAGTAGATATCCTGATCAGGCTTGACATTGTCCAAGATAACGGGGAGATACGAGTGGGCACCTTCGGCAACCTTCTTATCCTCGACCGATTCGACAGTGAGCCTCTTCGCACCTTTTGACAAGGCATCATTGACCAAACGATCCATCTTTTCGACTCCAAGCTTGCTTGCCAGCTCCATGTGGCCGAGAGCAGGTAATTCGTCTGCAACAGGTGAACATCACGGTAAGCGCTTCAGCGAAATCCGAAATCATACACTCGACCTACTCTTAGCGATCGCCTGAATCTCCTCGACCAACTTGTCTGCAACGCTCTCAACTACGACGACTCGTTCGGTACTCATACAGATTTGACCAGAGTGCAAGAGCGCACCAAAGACAATATTGTTGGCGGCCATCTTGAGATCGGCAGATTCCAGCACAAGAATTGGCGCTTTACCGCCCAACTCTAGCAAACACGGCTTGATATACTTGCCACACAGAGAACCGATGATACTGCCAACCTTGGTTGAACCCGTAAAGTTGGCCATTCGAATATGGGGATGGGCGATGATTTGCTCGGTTCGCTCGGGTTCCGTTCCAGGTGCGAATTGTAGGATTTGTACCACGCCATCAGGCACACCGGCCTCCTTCAGTATCGCTCCAAGCGAGTAATGAAGGAACGGAATAGCAGGTGAAGCCTTGATGACCACAGTGTTACCGCATGCCAGGGCGTAGCAAAAGGTTCGAACGCAGAGGACGAGACCCATGTTGAAAGGGCACACGCTAAAGACAACGCCGTATGGCTCCCGAGTAACCAAGGCCAACGATCCGTCAGATGTCTGCGGGATCTCTCCTCGGACCTCTGTAGCGATGGTAGCACCGCTCTTCATATGGGTGAGCGCAGCGCCGAGATCGAATGAGATAATCATGGGTGCAGCGTTGGTGTCATGCGAGTATGCAGCAGCGAGTTGATCCTTTTTCGCTTCCATGAGTGCCGCCGCTTTGAAGAGGATGTCACGTCGGGTAGTAGCAGGAGTCTTGGCCCAGGCTGGGAAGGCGGCTCGGGCACCTTCAATGGCTCGTTTTCTAATCCATGAAACGATAACGGGTCAGCGAGATCCAAAAGACGACATTATTGGAAACACCTTACACATCATCTTCGCTGGCGCCGCAGACTTTGGAAGACGTCTTTCCCGTGCTGGGGTGCTGGACATCAAAGACCTTGGAGGTGACGACGTCTTCGCCGTTAATCCACAGAGGGATCTGTCGAGGTTGTTGTTCAGTCTCGACAGGCATAGTGGTGTACTGGCGGTTCGTAAGTTGTTGCAAAGTCGGAAATATCAAGGAAAGGGTTGGCTTCCGGGCGACAATTGTCGATGAGCTTAGCGTCCTCCTTGTTGTATTAATAATAGTCGACTTGAGCAGCATTGCAATGGACTTGCTCACTGCGGAGTAACCGGAGGCAGGGTATCGATAACCTTGTCGGCTCGCTGGAGGATTTTAGATATCCGCTTTGAGCACCAGGAGAGAGACGATCGGGGAGGAGGTGGATCTCAATATTCATGGCACATGGAAGAGCATTTTCCGGCTGCTTGGCTGCAGGAGCTGCTTCAGGGTCCCAATCAGGGTCCCCCAAGGGCCCCAAGCTTACTAATGGCGGCATCTGTCAGCTATTCAGGGATTCAGGGCGTAGAATACAAGGAATACCTCCACCACCGAGAGTTTCACCGAGTCCCAGTCATCCCTGTAACCTTCCCTGTTTTGCAGCTTCTCTCACACATCTAGCTATTCAGCTCAATCACATATCGCAGTAGGCAGTACCTATTGCAGTCACCTTTGAGTGGAGAGCTGAAACACACTGCACCCATCGGCATACTCTTTCAGACCAGCTTTCAGACCTTCAGACATGAAGACAGGCACAAAATCCGGTTTCATAAGCGTGTCAACCAGGACAGCTTCTATTCAGGAATAACAACAGGTGTAAGGCGATCACACTTTCGGAAACGACGTCAAGCCGTTCCGTGCAAAAGACACGACAAGGACGGCATTCAAGCACAGGCACTTTCTCGATACCACATCCAATTTTTTGGATGTACGCAGGGCGTTGGAGCGCAACAACAAGGTGAAGGCCAGCCTCATTCCTTCATGGCTACGTCGACTAGGACTTGAAAGTTGATCCGACCCGTGATTGGCCTTCCGGGATGAACTCCCATAGAATATCGCTGTGGTCGCGTTTAGCAACGTCTGAAAGCGTCGATTCCGATGGCGGGGCGGAGCGTTTGTCGACAGTGATGAATTCGTCTGAATGACCTGATCGATCTCCGTCAGCATTCGCCCTCTCCATCTTCCTCGCTAGGTTGACTGCGTCAGAGGAACGTCGAGACCAGTCGAAATCGTTCGAGAGGAAAGCTGGAGTGGGACCGCTCTCTGGTTCAAATGGAGAGAGAGGTGAGTCCGTCAATCGGACTGTAAGCTCTCCTGAAAATACTGGACACACATCCATTGGAAGGCTCACCTTCGTCGCTCCCGGGCACTTCCTCTCTTTTCTGCACTTCAAGTGATGGGCCTTTTTTGCCCCACCTTTGACTTTTGCTAGGCATAGTGCTGCGACTGACAGTCGTCACTCTGGACGCAACGTCCCTTTTGACCCACGAACGTCCGTCAGACGCCATAACTCGATCATCATCGTCATCACCGGATTGTCCGAAGGATCCTCGTTTGACCCATGATCGTCCATCAGCGGCCAGAACTCGCTCGTCGCCGCCAGTGGAAGGTTTGACCACTGGCTTTTCTCTTTCGTTGGACGACATGGTTCGATCGGCCGGCAATCCGCTTGTGGTCGTGGTTGAATTAGGGATTTCGTTGTTCGGCTTGGCGGTACGGTCGGGAACTGATGTCCACGAGTATGAGTGTATTTACTATACAAGGACATATTGCATGACTCACTTGGGCAGTCCTTGCAGAAACCTCTAGGTTTCTCACCAGTTCCTTGCTTTGGCTTTCTCCGATCCCTTGCTTTGGTTCCTTGCCGGTCTTCTGCTTCGGTTGTCCACCCAGCCCTGTTTTTGGCTTGCTACCCATCCCCGTCTTTGGCTTGCTTCCCCAGACGCTAACAGGAGCAGAGCCGAATCCTTGCTCATCTGTCGGCAGTCGTCGTGGTCGTATGAGGTGAGGAGCAAAGATTTCAGGGAAGTGAATGTCAAAAAGCTGGAGGGAAACTATAATCTCTTTTGCCGCTTGGCACAATGATGGCCCCTATCAAGCATCATTTTGGGTCAGAGATGAACATGATCAGCGAGGAAGAGCGTTGTAGTCCAGAGAAACAGCGGGTTTGCAGTGTCGTTGGAAGATGCTCACCTGGCGATGTTTATCAGAGCGAGCGATAGGTACTGGTATACTTTGAACGACAGGAGATAGCACAGCAGTGCCAAGACAGAGCAGAAGCCCTGCAACAGCTGTCACACGCATGGTATGGCAAACGAAGTGTGGTCCTTTTTTGACGGCGAAATGAGCTTGATTGTCCTCGGGATAGATTGTGACGTAAAGAGTAAGTTGGCGCGTCACTTGATCACGAAAGATATCTCGACAGATTTCGAATCAACAAAGTGCAAACACTTCAATCATGCATACGAATAGACTCACGTGGGAAGCCCAAAGGACCTTCAGGCTTCAGGGGGAGCGGATGCGATTTGCCACATTCAGTGTTTTAGAGTCAGCATGAATGCGACAATCAACGGAGCCACTTGTCAGTCGGTAGCAGCGGAATATCGTAGCCATATCATGTCATTCGTTGTGGTCGACATGATATCATCTACCTGTACAACTCGATTCCGAGGGGTAGCCATCGCTCTGCCTTTACACTATACGGCCTCACTTGCCAAACCCTTTCCGCGCGAGGGACGGAAGTACCAACCAAGCTGCCAACACATACATGAACAGCTGCGCCCATTCAACAATAGCGTAAAAGTGTCGTGGTCCTACCAAGAAACTCGTGATTGCCAAGACGACGAGGCTGGCTTCTACTAGATAGCAAAGTGGACGACTGTTTACAAGGGATATAAGGAAGTCAAATGAGAGCTCGTGGTAGTAACTGCCGGACGCCCGGACAACTCACTATGTCGCGCTGACATCTGGCATTTTGCCAGCAGAACATGCTTCCACAATCACGAGGACAGCAACGATCT